GGGTGGCTCTCCTGCAGGTGTGGGCTTCGGGTCCGCTTTCCTCCCCTAGCGGACGGGAATCACGGGGAGGAAGAAGGCACCGGAGACGAAAGCGCTTTGAAAATATAAGTCGACTTACAGATAAAGGGGAAGGTGTTTGAAAAGCGGCTGCCCCGCCGGGAGCACAGTATTTGCAGTTTCCCAGGTGCCACTGGGGAGGTGAGATCCCTAGAGGCAGCTAGCACTACACTTAGCTCCTCTGCGCTCGCCCTGCCGTCCCCGGTTTTGACCCCGCCGGAGCCAGAGCGGGAAAATGCTGGGCTCGGTCCTGAGCTGCCGGGGGAAGCCGAGCGTGTCCTTCTAGACTGAGTCTGTAACCTCCCCGGATTAGAGCCTCTCCCCAAATCCTAGCCAGAATCCTGTCTAGACCTAACCATTTTGTATTTTACTTTCCACTTTTGGTTCAGTGTGGTTCATTTCAGCTCTCCCGGTGTTCCTTTAACCTCAGTTTTTTATTCCTTTCTGATTTCAAAGATGAATATACAATAAAGGCGATGGAATATAAGGTATATATCAAGGGGATGCTATAGTTAGTGGGAGTCGAAAGAACTAAGGGATATTGGGGCTGTAACGCTCTGAAGCCTTCCCCAGGGAGGTGGGGTTGCTCTCCTAAATCCATGTTGAGTGTCCCTTCTGTGTATCTCCTGGACTCGGCATTTCATTCATTCCACCTAGAACTGAGCTAGACTGGAGGATAGGAAATAGCCTGCCCTTATATAACACCCATGCCAGAAGGGAAAAAAACAGAAATTACAGGTCAATTTGTGCATTTATATATAAAATTGTACCAAGTGCCGTGAGGGAAAAAAGGACCTGCCTCGTCTGGGAAGTCAGGGGAGGCTTCCCGAAGGAAATAAATAGCATTTGAGCTGAGCTCTCAGCGCAGCCAAGAATTAAGTAAGCTTGAGCCTTCCGAAAGGAAAGGATGGTGAGTCCACTCACCGGGGGTAATTGGTGGAAGATCGGGTTGCAGAGGTGGCCAGAAGCTTGATCCTAGGGGTCTCAGAGGCTCCGCCACTGCCTCATCATGGATCTTGGAAGGTAATAATTCGCTTGTATGTATGATACCTTTAAGGCCTAGCCAGTGTCCGGCACTTGATAGGTAGGTACTTGGTAACATTGATGGAGTAAGGGAGTCCTTAAAAGGAGATGAATTGGACAGAGTTTTCAGTTTTTAAATTAAACTTCTCTCTCACCAGCACCATGGACATATTAAGGCCACAGTTGTATCACAGAGCCATGCAGACTAAACTGACCAAGTAAACCTCTTCGTAAGGATTGTTAACATTTGCCACAAGTTTGGTCTGCACACGGAGCAGCAAAGTGGAATTCTGTATTTATGGAGGAGCAAAACAGAATTTACAGTTTGTTGTGCATGTATACTGTAGGTGAGCGAGCCCACCACAGATCTCACTGACTCAGTTCTAACATCACCTAAACGTTTGGCAGTTGGGTACTGAGTGCCAGCAACGCCTAGCAGGAATCCTGTTCTTGCCTCTGAAGACCTAATCATTTTGTGTTTTCTTTTTCACCTTTGGTCCTACACAGTATTTGGTTAGTTTCAGCTTCTGGCATCCCTTGCCCTCAGCCTTTGATTCTGTTACTATTTCCGGGATATTTAATCTTGGTTTGGTGGTAGTTAGAAGCAGTTGAAAGTAATCTCACAATGTGTGTTGAGGATTCAGTTGATAGTTATGTTAACCAGCAAAGTGGCTCAAGCAAGAAAAGTATATCTGTGAGAAGGCTGTGTTTCTCCAAGAATGCAAGGGCAGTTGGATCTTCAGGCTCTCCCTTGTCTGTCTCTGCTGTTTTTTATGTTTTTGCTGTGTTCTCTTCTCTCTGTTTGACAGAAGCCCCAAAAGTCTAAATTCAGGATGGATTCTGAAGATCTGGCATGTAGCCTTATTCAAATTCATAAGAGCTTTAGTAGGAGAAACTTACACGGCAAAGTAGCTGCTCCCAGTGGTGGCAGGCCAGGAATAAATCCACCCCCTCCCAGGACAGGGCCTCGTTTTTTATAGAGGGTTAATAGTAAAACCATATTGTGGGTAGTCATGTAGACCACCAGAAAAAAAATGTATTTTGAAGGTAACAGATAACATTGGGCAGTTATCACACTGTATACATTCTTTAACCTCCTTCCTGGGTGCATGACCTTTACCTTTGGGCAGCATTCCAGTTTTCTGGGTAGTCAGCCGAGCCTGAGGCTACAAAGAGTTCAGAGCCCAACATTTCCCAGATGCCTTTGCTGCTAGAGCCATGTTGCATCTCTGAGTTCCCTTACAGTCTTTGTATTGGCTTTCTGTTTCTCAGGCCTGTGGTAGAAAGACTGGTTACCTCTCAGCTCCTGGGGTTACAGTTCCCTCTATAAGAAACCAGCCTTTCTAGTTCAGTTCCAGACTCGTTGCTGGACAGAATCATTAGGCTCAGACATGGCCACTGCGGGACGAGGCACACTTGAAAGAGAGAGAGAGAGAGAGCGTTCGCACAATTTGTGGACAGGAAGATGAATCATTTCAGGCTCTGGCAGAAAATGGAGTTTAATTCGGATAATTCAGGAGACTTTTATGACAATGTGGGTGTATTTCAGGGAACCAACAAGAGATGTTGAAGAACCCAAAGACCAGTGACCATGGGACATAGCAAACACCTCTAGGTCAAATGGGCCCAAGAAGGAAATAGTGTTACCAGATACCAGTGATAGCTGGGACCATGGAAGAAGAGCTGCCACAGCTCTGGGTAGATGCAAGCAGTCACAATGTGGCCCCAGGTGTGTGTGTGCGGGGGGGTGGGGGCTCTGTTTTCCTTTGATGACTTCCATTGGCCAAACTCAACCAGAAATCAGCGAAGGGAGTCCAGGTGATGCAGTTTTGAGGGAGTCAACCTGGAGCACGGATTAGGACAGGGAAGGATGGAGAATGGATCTGAGGAGGTGGGGCAGGGCAAATGGAAAGGTTGATAAATCAATATTTTAACATATGATTTGGTTGATTTGTGTTAAGTCCCCTCTCAGCCTTTGGAGGCCGAGACGCCCCACTTTTGTTGGGTACATATTATCTCAGAGGCTCAGAGCCCGCCACGGCCGATGATTAGCCCCACCAAGAAGCATGCCTCTTGGGGTCCCGTCAAAGCCATTTCTTTGAATTTTTCTCGGCCGTTGAAAGAAAGTGTAGCTCAGCTGATAGTTTCAGTTTCTTTTCTGTGATCCAGCTTTAACTGGAAGCATTGTGGTTTTTTTGTGGGGGTGGGAGGGGGGGGTTGCAGCACAGAAGAGGGAGAACAGGGCCTGATCTTCAGCTGTGAGACTGAGCAGTCAGAACTCAGCTGCTCAGGCGGCCGTGCAGGGCACTGATTGATTCTGAGCCCTGTGTCACTTCTTCCAGACCCATGGCACAAAAAGGCTGCACCCGGGCACCCTGCACGGTGAAGGGAATCACGTCCTTTCAGAGGATGATGGGGGGCTGTTCAGCAGGCTTGGATAAGGACACATTTGTAATACCTTAATCAATAAAGGAAAATAAAAAAGAAGATCAGTATCTAGTTTTGCCCACTGTGTCTTGGGCCTGGGCCTGCAATGATGGCCCAGTCAAAGTCCCTTTCCTAAGTGCATTGTATTCTAATAGGGGAGGCGTCCTAGTCTCGGTTCTCTAGCAAGCTCTGCGGTATTGGACAAGTCAAAGCAAGGTCATTCGGGGCACCATCACCTCAGAGGACCTCTGGAGTCTGAAACCTTCCCAAGTGTGTTGGATGAGTAGAGCTGGCTTGTCGGCTTCTATTAAGGAGAAACAGGACTGGGTGACCTGGGTAAAGCAGCTCTGGGCTGAGTCACATGTCCTTCCACTTGGTCACAAACAAGAGATTGTGGTGCCTCGACTCAGTATCCTTACCTGACACCTCTCTTCAGGGTTTTGAGGATTCGGTGAGTGGATACCTTCCCCCAGAAGCAGGAGAAGGGAACTGCCTATGGACTGCCATGTGCTAGACTGTGCTGAAAGGTCCCTGTAAATGATTTAGGGCAGGGGTCCTCAAATTTTTTAAACAGGGGGCCAGTTCACTGTCCCTCAGACCGTTGGAGGGCCGGACTATAGTTTTAAAAAAAACTATGAACAAATTCCTATGCACACTGCACATATCTTATTTTGAAGTAAAAAAACAAATGTTTTCAGCGGGCCGCATGTGGCCCGCGGGCCGTAGTTTGAGGACCCCTGATTTAGGGTTTTCAGATTCTCCTGTAACTCTGTAAGGTCAGGGTTAGTCCTGCTTTCTAGGTGAAGAGACAGGCTCAGAGCTGTTGAGGAACTTGCTCAAGGTCACAAAGCTGGTCTGTGACAGCAGAGAATTAAATACAGATTGGAGGTGACTCCACACCACACCCGACCGGCAGGTCATGATCACATAGGTAGCAACCTAAAAGGCACCGGAGCCATCCCAGCACCCAGAAGCCCTGTATCTGAAAAGGTCTTTTGTCCCTTGCTGAGAAGGACAGGGCTCCCCAAGGTGCGGCCCATCATTTGTTGACATCTCTATTGGTTTTCACCTGAAGCCTCAGTTCAGGGCAGCCCCTGTTCTCACGTGTTCACACATGGATGCGTCCCCCTGCTCCTGAGGACGGCAGGTGAATAAAAATCGTGGTAGGGTGTCAGGCCATGAACCAGGCCGCGCAGGTTTGGGTGATTTCCTGTCTGTTAGGAGGAAAACTGGACTTTTTAAAAAAAAAAAAGTTGCCCTGAGTGCAGTGACTCGTGGACTAGTTTGTTTAGTGTTTTTGGTTTGATCTTTTATTCTTTTGAGTGCTTTTTTCTATGAAAAACAGTTTGTAGTTGATGTATCCTTTGAAAGGAACATTTGTAGCTTTCTGTTCGCCTCTTGTCACTTGAACCTTTACCGCTGAGCATTTCCCTGGGGCAGATGTGATTCGAAGGCTGCAAAGGCAAGATCTGGCCAGGCCCAAGTTTTTTTACCACCACCAGCACCCCGCTCTCCACCCCATCCTGGAACAAGTATGTGGGTTGTTACTACAAAGGGGTGTGGCTAGATCTCCCCAGAGTGAGTGGTGTTTTAAGGCAGTAGTTGGAAGCCCTGTAGCCTTGAGGTCTCCTTGCTTTCAGAGCCGTTATCACCATCATCAAGACCAACTGGTATAGCCAGCCAGTCCATCCTGTGAGGGAGGCCTGTGGGGTCCTGTTGCACAGTGAAGAGACCCTTTAGAATGCAGGCGGTGGTGTGGAGTGGCGGTGAAGAGCTCTGGCTTGGAATTGAAGTGCTACTTACTGGCTGTGAGACCCCGGGCCAGCCATTTAGCATCCTTCAACCATTTTTCTGTTTGCATAATGGATTCAGTGTGTTAACTGTGGAGTGTTTCTAGAGCATTATCTCATATATGGTAAATGCACATTAAATAGTAGTTACTATTGCCCTAGCCGGTTTGCCTCAGTGGATAGAGCGTCAGCCTGTGGACCGAAGGGTCCCGGGTTCAATTCTGGTCAAGAACACGTACCTTGGTTGTAGGTTCCTCCCCGACCCAGGCCCTGGTCGGGGCTCCCACGAGAGGCAACCAATTGATGTGTTTCTCTCACATCGATGCTTCTCTCTGTTCTTCCCTCTCTCTTCCACTCTCTCTAAAAATCAATGGGAAAATCCTCGGGTGAGGATTAAAACAAAATAGTTACTATTAGTTTTTACAAACAATTGTGGCTATTTTGGTGTATAGATCTGTAGAATTAGAGAAGCACCTTTGAGGCCATTTACTTCCACGTCCTCTTTTGTAAATGAGGAAACTAGTCTATAGCGGGAGGGACTTGTCCTACCTAGAGGTCAAGCAGCTAGTTTATGGCAGGACCAGGCCTGGAACCCGTGACTGATGCTCCTGTGATTGCTCACACTTGTACCAGGCCTGCAGCCTGTGAAGGATCCCTTGTGAGTGATGTTTCTGGGCCAGGTTTTCACTCTCCTAGCCGGGCACATCCGGGGATGTGGCAAACGGGAGTCAGAGATTGACCTAGAAAGCTGTGTGTTCGGTGGCGGGTGGTGAAGAGACGGTTACATAGTTTTGAGTTCTCCCCAGAGGCTCATTCTCCCAGACTTGAAATCCTGTTCCTTTTTAAGTCCACTTCTCCCCAGACTCAGATAGGGATTGCCTTCAGGGAGGGGACTGTAGGAAGTGGAGGGGCTTGCAGGAGTTGAGAGAGTAAAAAAAAACCTGAAACACACGTGACCAATGGTAGTAGTTGGTTCTGTGTGGTGGGAGCACGCAGTGTTTTGCCTGTTTATATTTTAATTGCTCAAGATAAAAAAGTCAGTCAAGTGCAGTTAGCCAGGTAGTTTATTTTATTTTATTTTTAATTTTTAAAAAAATATAGTTTATTGATTTTTTACAGAGAGGAAGGTAGAGGGACCGAGAGCTAGAAACATCGATCAGCCGCCTCTCACACACTCCCCACTGGGGATGTGCCCGCAACCAAGGCACATACCCTTGACCGGAATCGAACCCGGGACCCTTGAGTCCGCAGGCCGACGCTCTATCCACTGAGCCAAACCGGTTAGGGCTAGCCAGGTAGTTTAAAGATAAGCTTCTGACAGCACGCTTCAGGACTGTATTTGTTAGTGTTTGGAGGAGCATTAACCTCTTTGAGAATCTGATTCTAAAGATTCCTTTTCTGGAAAAAAATAAATAAACTGCTTTCAGTGTTTACAAAGGAGGAAGATCTCTGTGAGCTGACAGGGAGTGATTTCCTGCATATGAAAAGTGTAAGCCCTAGCTAGTTTGCTCAGTGGATAGAGCGTCTGCCTATGGGCTGAAGGGTCCCGGGTTCGATTCTGGTCAAGGGCATATGCACGGGTTGTGGGCTCGATCCCCAGTAGGGCGTGTGCAGGAGGCAGCTGATCAATGATTCTCTCTCTCATTGATGTTTCTATCTCCCTCTCCCTTCCTCTCAAATCAATAAAAATATATTTTAAAAATAAAATGTTAAAAAGAAACAAAGAGTATCAGTAGTAGGCCACCCTGTGTAAGAAGGGGATATTTACAATATTCATGTATCAGCTCATTTGTGCAAAGGAAACACAGAAAAGATGGCCTGGGAACAAAAGAGATTGGTTACCTGCCTGGTGTGGTGGGAGAGGGGGGAGTGGGATGCGTTGGGAGTGACATTTCTCTGAGCACACCTTTTCTGCTGGCTTTGACTCCCAGAGCCATGGTGATAGTCCACATACCCAAAAAGTAAATAAGTAATTAAAAGTAACCAGGATGTGGGGGACCCAGACTGGAACACAGACTGCTACAAATGAGTAACAGGGCTGCATGGAAGGATGGGGGAAGACAATTGGAAAACAGTGTTTTGAGTGGGTATCATAGGCTAAAGACAAAAAAGAACTCTGTATAATACTGTTCTCTGTTAGAACATTTGTTTCTCACAGGGGTATGGGTTAGAAGTTCTGAAACTATGTGTATACTAAGATTTAACAAATACCTAAATGCATTGTAGATCATGAAAGCCAGGTTTCTCCCTGTCTGAGAGAGAAGTTACACCTAGGACAAGGAGGAAGGTTAGAAACAATTATCAGTGTGAGAACGTGGCTTTTTAATAGACATGTGGATAGACAGAAATAACTACAGGTGTGTGTGTTTGTGTGTGCATGGGTTAGTGTACATACATATGTTTTCTAGCTCTGTCTGCTGGGAAGCTCTAGAAGCAATGATACCCCTGCAGCAACGAACCGACTTAGCACTCAGATCCTGGTTTTTCTCCAATAAAAGTAACCAGCACTCCTTGGAGAAAGGGCTGCTTCCGGGGCAGGGGCAGGGGCAGAGAAAATACAAGACCCTGGGACATCTTATATTGTTGGAAAATAAAGAAGTGCTCAAAAAAGATTGGAGGCATGTTGAAAAAATGCAGGAACCCACCCAAAGGAGCTCCCAGGGGCCAAATCTGGAGCTACAAGAGGAATAATGAAAGTATTGGATTATAGCTATAAAAGACATCTGTGAGCTAACACTGACATAGTAAGTGATTGAAGAAGTAAATAAGATAAGGGACAAGCACTGCCTGGTCCACTCTGAAACCCATCTTCAGCATCAGGGTTGGCAAGCTTGGCTGATTCACTAAGAAAGGAAGATGTACTACACATTTCTCCAGGGCAGTGGTTCTCAACCTTTGGGACGCGACCCCTTTGGGGGTTGAACGACCCTTTCACAGGGGTCGCCGAAGACCATCAGAAAACACATATATCTATATATATAAAAGCCTAAGTGACTGTTATGACTGGTCGACTGAACGACTGGTTGACCGATCGCTATTACATGTACTGACCACCAGGTGGCAGACGCTTAATGCAGGAGCTGCCCCCTGTTAATCAGTGTGCTCCCACAGCCAACCTTCTGCGGTCCCTCCTGCTGGCCAGCCAACCTCCCCCAAGACTGGGCAAGACTGCCCCAATCGGCCCTGATCGCTGGCCAGGCCAAGGGACCCCACCCGTGCACAAATTCGTGCACCAGGCCTCTAGTAATTACATATTGTTTTTGTGATTAATCACTATGCTTTAACTATGTTCAATTTGTAACAATGAAAATACATCCTGCATATCAGATATTTACATTACGATTCATAACAGTAGCAAAATTACAGTTATGAAGTAGCAACGAAAATAATTTTATGGTTGGGGGTCACCACAACATGAGGAACTGTATTAAAGGGTCGCGGCATTAGGAAGGTTGAGAACCACTGCTCTAGGGGAATGAAAAGGGGTGAATTGCCTCAGGGGTCTGTTGTTGGTTTGGGATCACAGCCTGCGGATTGTGGTTGTTGCACGTAGGAAGACCTCCGCGTGGATGGCCGTGGATGTGAGGACTACCGATGTGTCGAAGTGGAAACCGACGTGGTGTCCAACACCAGTGGGTCTGCCAGGGTCAAGCTGGTGAGTGCTGTGGCCACGCTGGAGGAATGGGGAGGACCTAGGGGACCAGCCGCAGGCCCCTCCAAGCTTTTGCCACACAGATTTTAGGGGAAAATCCAAGACCCAAGCCAAACTCTGGGCGGGGGACTCTCTAGATCTGAAGGACTCCTCATCTTCTCAAAGGGTCACTTTCCAAGCCCCAGCACTGCTCTTAAGAGAGTCCCAGGGGTGTACGTCAGGGGGAGGAGGGAGGTGGTCGGGTGCCTGGCTGCCTGCCCGGAGTGAGGACTCTTCTCGCATATGTCTGCAGGGTCACACGGACATCCTGGTGGGAGTGAAAGCAGAGATGGGGACGCCGAAGCTGGAGAAGCCAAATGAAGGTTACTTGGAGTTCTTTGTTGACTGGTCAGTACTATGCAGATTTCTTTTTAAAGAAAAACAATTTGAAAGATGAAGATTCAGAGGATGAACCTCTGTTTTCCTGTTAATCTGCTTTTACTTGGTATTGAATTGTCATTCAGCCAGCCAGCAGGTATTTACTGAGTTCCTCCGAGGTGCCAGGCCCTGGGATATTTGAAGGAGACGTTGGGTCAAGTTCTGCCCTTGCCCTGGCCACCTGGCCCTCTCTGGGCCTCATTTTCCCTGTCTGAAAGGAGGGTGTCTGCCAGGCTGCCCAGCTCATGGTGGTTATGAGAGTCACATGAGATGATGGATGATTTGAAAAATATCAAACGCAGATGATAAGGATCATTTGGTCTAAAATGCCCTGTTTCCCTCTCTGCTCTAGCTTTCCAGAAAACTTCTCATGACTTGCTTGGCAGAGCAAGGACTAGGGCCAGCCAAGCAGCCTGACAGGCCGAGGTTGTGGCAGCGAGACAGGCAGTGGGTGCTGGGAAGAGCAGACTCCGCAGTCTCTGCAGCCGTCAGCCAGCCTGATGCTGGCTTCTTCTCACTGTGTGACCTCCGGCTGGTTACTCAGTCTCTCTGTGCCTCTGTTTCTTAATCTAAAAAATGGGAGTGATAATACTGTTGTGATGATAAGGAAATGAGATCATGAAGATAGAGCACCTAGGATGACGACTGGCTCCCAGTGGGCTTTCCATAAGTGACATTTCTCTCCCTCTGGTGACCTCCTTCTAGGGGTTGGGTGGTTTATCGGGTTGCTGACCCAGTCTCGTCTTCTGTCTGTAACCTCACTTCTAGCGAGGTGATGACACAGGCCTTCTTGGGTGGGTACGGCTATTGGCTCATGTTAGGTGCAGGTATGTATTACTGACACTGTGTTGGGTCCCCAAGACGACCCCACATTCAGAGACTTGCTGGAAGGACTAGCATATAATTGTACTCACGACTAAGATTTATGACAGCAGCAAAATGCAGCAACATGTGTGCCCAAGATGATTCTGAAAGAAAACCCATTAGAGACTCAGCACCCAAGATAGTTTTGGCTGCTGGTCATGTAAGCACCCTCTGCTTAACACACACCACAATACCAGGCTCCTAGGAAGCAAGCAAGTGTTCAGCGTGAACCATATTTTTGCAGAAACAGTCTACACCAGTGGACACAGATTCCTGGGAACACTCTGAGAGCCAGAACGCTTTTCTGTGCAGGTGCTAATCCCCATTTGCATAGGAAGTTATAGTCTTCCCGTCTTCACGTCCAAACAGAAGTCCACCTCTCACAAACCGTTCATGAGGGACATGAGTTCAGAGCGGGTGCGTGAGCTTCCTGGGGGTCACTTACCTGGTTCTGTCGGACTCTGAGTCTTTGCTCTTCCTACTTCGTGCAGCCTGTGGAGCCCGGCTTCGGAGGGGTGTTGTGCTTAGAAGTCCCAGAACTTCCATGGTGGCTCTGTGTCTGAAGGTGACTTAACATCTGCCTGCTGCTTTCGTCCCTTTCTTGTCCCAGCTTTAAAGGGAGGGTGGCTGTAGGTTGAGAGAAGCCTTTGAGCTGCCTTTCCCAAGACCTGGCTTCTAGGACTGAGCCTCTGTCCTGGCTGAGTGGCTGCCTGCTGGCCTCTTTCCCCCTTTGTAAATCTCAGGAGAACCCCAACAGGCCTAGGAGCTCCAGTTCCCAATCTCTGAATCTCTTTCTCAAGATTGATAGTCTCAGGTGGCACACTGTAGATCTGTAAGTGGCTCCGTTAGTGCGATCAGCCCAGCAGGTAGAAGTACCATGAGAGATTCGTAAAACCCCGTTTTCCTACGGAGAAGGGAGAGATTGCCAAGCGCCACTGGCTGTACTTCTCTCAGAACCTATTTGGGTCTGCAGGGAGCAACTCTAAATTGCATAACACACAAACCCCTTCATTCTGATCCAGGGAATAGTGCCCAGAAATAGGGGTGCTGTCCTCCTCTTCCCCAGGCCCCGGGGATGGGGCCTCCGCCGGAGGCTCAAGGCTGAAACTGAATTCTTACCCAGCGGGAAGGGTCCTTTCCTGCCCATCTGAGCCCAGTTTGACAAGTACTTACCAGCTGCTTCCAGGTTTTAATTATTAAGTTCCCAGAGCTAGAGGGGTCTCAGGAGACGAAGTGCTTTTCTGCTAACTCATTCCACTTCAGTTTGTGTACTTGGAATGCAGGCATCTGGGGTAGAGGACACTTCCTCCCACCGCTGCTCTGACCCTGACCGTGTTCCAGTGGAGCAAGAGCTGGGTTGCAAGCTCTGCGCCAGGGAAGCCTGGCAGCACTCTCACTGGACCCGGAGCCGGCCAGGCCTTCTCACTTCCTGCTCAGGTCTTTGTTAGATGTTGCCTGAAAATAGGCCATTTTAAATAAGAACTTGGAGACTTTGGGAAAAGATGGTTTCCATCTAAAGCCTAGAGAAAGGTAAGAATTGAATGAACTGTCACTCTGGGTTACCACTAGGTGGCAATCCATCAAGCCGCTTCTCAGCTGTCTGACCACCCTGCTGATGGGTTTAGGGGCTGGTTTAGCCTCTCAGAGGGGGTTCAGTGTTTAATGGTTGAGGAGCACACGTTTCATTCATAGGCATTTCAGTATGCCCAGCACTTGTCACTTGCCTTTGGGACTTACTTTTCAGGGTGATCACTTGTGCTTCACACTAGTGTTGAACCACAAGTTTTGTGCCCTGAATTGGTGGGTGGACCCACTTGATCTATTCCTTACCTGCTTAGTGCTGCCCAAAGGGGGCACTGTTCTTGGCTGAAGGGCCAGGTGTGGGGCCAGGCAGAGCAGAACCTGCAGAAGCCATTCGAGGCTGGCTGTACTTTGAAAGTTGATGAAATAACTCTCCCAGGGACTTCAAACAAGGGTTTAGGTGACAAGCTCCGAATGTGCTGCTATGCCCAACCCATTTACTGGGACGCTTCGGTAGGCTCAGAGATGAGCACGTGAGTCAGAGGCTCAGGACCTGCCTGGGGGTTAGATGACTGTGGAGGTGTCCTGAGTCAGCCTTGGCCCGGTACCTACTAAATCACCCGGCTGCCACAGGCCGGGCCGGGACTGGCTGTCAGCCTCCACGTTCGCAGGCGAGGTCAGTTGTAAAGGAAGCAACAATGGGCCTAGTGTCTGAGTCCCATTGCAGGTAGCCGTGGCCTTGATCGCAGCCTACCCCAGTTAAACCAGGAGAGAAGTGCTGAGCAGAGGAGCGGAGTAGAGGTGATGAGTCAGGAGGGGTGGAGAACTGGGAGGGGCAGCGTTCCCAAGATTTTTATTAGTTTATCCAGCTCAGTAAGCAATTTCCCAACAGCCCTGGAGGGCTGGTTCTTTATGAAGGATCTGAGTTGGTTTGGGTAACTATAAAAATAAAAGCACTTGGTTTTATGCTAAAAAACACCTTAGTGTATACTCTCCCCCTGGAGGAATGTATTATGATGCCTATGAGCAGGGGGCTAGGATTGCCAGCCTGTGTTGCTCTCTCTTTAAACTTCGTACTCGATAGAGAAGCTTTTTGTTTAGGACTCCCTTGGTCTACATTCCTTGACTCCAGCATTTGTGCCCTAGTAGTAGTTCCCAAGACCAGAGTACCCATTCATTACTGTGAGGCATAAGGCAGGCCGAAGGGAGGCTAACCTGACCGATGTTAGGCCACAAGCCAGACGTGCCAAGTAGACATTCAGGGAGAGTCCAGTGAAGCCCAGCAGACAAGGCCAGGCTGCCTGGGTTTAGAATCTTAGCTCCCCAGTCACTGGGTGTGTGACCTTGGGCGGGTTACACAACCTTTCTGTGACTCGGTTTTATTGTCTCTAAAATGGGGTCAATAACAGTGCCAACCTCTAGGCTTGTGAGAATTCAGTGCGTTAATACATCTAAAGTGCTCAGAATGCTGTCTAGCACGTGGTGACCATTCCAAAAAAGTTAAGTTTCCTTCCTTGTAAAGCGAGAGCGTCTGACCATCTGAGGCCACAACCCACCTGCAAGATATTTGTTTCACTAATGGAGGCTTTTATTAAAGATGACAGGGCCTGAGAGTTTGCCAGTCTCCATCACTCCCTGTTAATTATACATGTGGCTCTTTGTTCAGATGCTTGTAGGCGTTTGGTTTGTGGTCCTCTGGAGATGGCCTCTAAGGCTTTGCCAGGTCTGCGTTTCTGACCGGCTCTATCAGAAAGGGTCCTTGTGCTGTGGGCGCCCCTAGTGGTGAGGAGGGACCCTCCTTTTTCTGCTGCATCTCTTCTCTTCATCCTTTGTCAGAATACAGGGTCTCTGGCTTTTCTCATTGTACCCAAAGCACTACAGCCCATCCCCACCCTGAGCAGTTTCCTTCTCCCCAGCCTCTTCCCCAGAATCACTCCATAGCCAGGGCACCGTCCAGATGCAGGAGCTTCCTAAGGTCTCATCCGCCTCGAAGCTTTCTTTTCTGCCCGTCTACCAGCTATGCTGAAAGGATATGTTGAAGAAAAGGGAAAAAAAAACACAACACAAAACCAACACTGTAAAAATGGGAAGAATTTCACTTTAAATTAGCCCAGTGCCAAAAAACACAATGGGGCATGGTTTTGTAGGTGGATTAATTTAGCCAGTTGGACCTGGAGGTTCTGTAAACCACCCCTCAGGGCCGTGGAGGAGTCACTGCCTCCTCCCTGGGTAATCAGTCACACCCAGGAGGATATGACCCACTATAATCAGGGAAAGGAAAACATTTGAAGTGTAAGCATCTCGGACTGGATTTGTCTACACAGAGATCTATGTAGATGTGTTTTTAAACACTTAAAAGATGGGACTCAATATTGATTGCTTAGTGTTTGAATTAGGAACAGATTGTGTTTTGCTGGCTGTGCAAAATAAACTTGGTCCCTGGTGACTTGATTATTTCGCCACAAATGAGCTTTTTTTCATGGCTCAGTGCCTGAGTCCAGCAGAGGCGGGGAGAGACCAGCGAGGTTGCTATGGCAGCAGTGAAGTTTCTCAGGGATTTTAAATTGGGGTTCTGCTGGCTGGTAGTGGTCAGGGAGGACTCTCTGATTAGAGAGGCAGAGTTTTATATAACAGCACACTCTGGTCATTTTAGGGTTCATTTTTATGCCTATATAAGATGGAGTAGACAGAGGGGACATTACACACATGCACGCACGCACCCACACCCTGCCTGCCTGTGGCCTGACCAGCTTGTACTCATCTTTAGGTTTGAGGTCTCCTCTAACCCTCAACACTGATTGAGGCCCTCCCTGACCCCCACTCCTGCTGCTTGCTCCCTCTCCTATCAATGAAACTGCCCCCAGACTTCATTGGAATTCCGACTTACGGTGGCCTTCTCCTTGCGCGGTCTCTGGGTCTGCAGTGCCTGGCATCTGGCTGGGTGCCTTCCAGTGGAGGTGTGGATGCACAGACGGGCTGGGGAACACGGGTCGCACGAGATTTTGTGGAAATCAGACTGAAACAACTGCTTTCCTCCCAGTCACTGGAATGTTTACTTACCTCACTGATGTATTAAGGGTTTGTTTTCATTAAGCCAAAACCCTCCACAGTTTCCTGTTAAACACTGGTGTAGTGCTTAGGGTGGCAAATGTCAATGTGTCTTCATTCTTTGTTGATTTTTTTTGAAGGGATAAACTTTATTAATCTAACTTAAACACTGGAGGCTAAAATTATAGCAACCTGTGTTGAGGTAATTGGGCGCAAAATTCAAGAGGCCTGAATGAGAAAGGTTTTCTCTTTGAAAAATAACAAATAAAGTAAAAGAGATAACCTAATATTTAATCTGCCAGCAGTCTGTCTGTCTTATTCATCTCCTGCTGTTCAGTACAGTGATAACCTAGAGTTCATGACATAGCTCTGGCATACTATCTTACGTATCTTCTGAAAGATTCCAGCTCTAGCCGGTGTTACTCAATGGTTAGAGTGTCAGCCTGCGCACCGAACTGTTGAGGGTTGGATTATCGGTCAAGGGCACGTGCTTGGGTTACAGGTTCGATCGCTGGCCTGGTTAGGATGCATGTGGGAGGCAACCAATTGCTGTGTCTCTCTCATATCAATGTTTCTCTCTCTCTCTCTCTCTCTCTCTCTCTCTCTCTCTCTCCCCCCACCCCCCTCTTTTCCACTCTTTCTAAAAAACAATGGAAAAAAATATTCTCGGGTGAGGATTAACACACAAAACAAAACAGAAAAAAAATTCCAGGAAGGTTATTGTACTTGACGTTGTGGCTTTTGTTTTGAGAGTACATCGTGCATGCTAAAGCTGTGAAAACTAGGGATGGTGTATATAATATAACCCCTCTGTAAGCCAGACTGATTCTCTGGGCTTTCCGGCTTCCTCGGCCTGCCAGAGAAGGTATTTGTTATACTTTCAAGATAAGAGAGTTAATTATTCCTGGCCGAGGTTCACTTTACCATTGCTCTCTTGTTTCCCTTGGATAAAGATGTCTTCTGTTAGAAGTCAGGGGGAACTCCCATCACGCACACTGACAAATCCAGGGCCCGGTGCTGGTCTGGCTCAGTGTGTGTCTGTCCGGAGGCTGGAACAGTGGCAGATGCCATCCCTTCCTCATTTCAGTGACTCTCCATCATTCCGTAGGGCAACTGGAGTAAAGCTTTGCCCCTTTGCTCTTTGCGTTTGAAAAGACTCACCAGCTCTTCTGTTCCCTTCTGCGCAGCTCAGCCAATGCTACCCCTGAATTTGAAGGTCGAGGAGGTGATGAACTTGGCACAGAGATTGCTAACACCCTCTACCGGATATTCAGCAACAAGAGCAGCGTGGACCTGAAGTCCCTCTGCATTAGTCCTCGGGAGCACTGCTGGGTCCTCTATGTGGACGTGCTGGTAAGGATCATGTTGCTGTGCCGGCCGGAGACCAGTTGGCCTACTTTCCTCCCAGGGCTTTTTTCCTCTCCAAGTGGGTACTTCCGACTCCCAGGGTGAGATTAGTTAGGGGAAGATGAATCTCCTGTAATAGTTTTTTTTAAAAAAATTAAATATTACATGTATAGTAATATATGTAAAGTAGCCTACACTTGATGCCATCCTACAATAAAGTTACAAGCAGTCATATCATGGTAGCACCTAAAATTATCCACAGAGATTGTCAGGGAAGAAAAAGTAAGAGATGCTCTCTAGATGGTGCCAGACAGAGTCGAGGGGCAGAATTTAGACCAGCTGGCACATTCTGCATGGAATGATGTGCTGTTTACATGCATTTTCATTTAACCCTTACAAATGTTTTGCAAGTGGGCACGATTCTTTTCCCCATGTACAAGTGAGGGAACTAAGACACAGAGAGGTAAAGTAACTAGCCCGAGAGGTCTCAGCTTGAGGATAGTGGTACTAGGCCTCCAAGCCAGGGGTTGGGCCGGTGTCTGCTCTTGACCTCACTGAGCCATCTTCCCTTGGAAACACCCCGTAGCCCACCTGCTCTGAGGCCCTCGCTTCCCAGGTGCGGCCCCTGAGGCCCTGCCACCTCCCTCCTCCCTCCTCCCTCCTCCATAGTCAGCTCCTGCAGGAGTCTTTCTAGCCACCCCTCATTTCCTTCCTGGTGTTCTCCCTCCAAATACTCTGCTGCCAAGTTTTTGGCAGTTGGCAGTAACTTCTCTTAGAGCTATAATTCGTTTAATTTTGCCAGTTGCTTGTTCATGTACAGGCTCTTGATGGGTCTATTTTGTTTTTATTAAATGTCATGAACCTTGAGATGAGTGACCGCATCTTCCACGTCAGCTTGAGGACACAAGGCTAAGCTATTGACCAAACAGGTACTTGAATGAACCTGAGGGCACAGCAGATCTTGTGGATCTGATCTTGTGGGCGGCCTTCTGAGGAGGAACAGCCTGCTGTCTCCAGTGCTGGCCCTGCGTGAAACAGGGCAGGGCTTTCTGGGCACTTGCAATTCGATAACGGCTGGAACATGGCTGAAAGATAATTAATAGTGGACCAGCAGGTTAGCGCTGTTCTGAATGCTGGTGCTAATGGGTAAAAGTAATACAATTACAAGTCAATTTGCTTTTACTCGTTTCCAATAAGATGTGCCCCGTAGTGTGATTCCTCCCACCAAACAGGTACTTTTGCAGGTCCTGGTTTTGAGGAGGCGGGAACCGGCCACTGGCTGTCCTTACGGATAAGAGGCAGGCTTCCTAGCTGCCCAGGGAGGTGAACTCTGCAGTTACACCTTGTGGCTATCCTCCACCCCCGCCCCCAACCCAAACAGTCTTTATTTAAATGCACTTAGCTAACACCTACTGTGTGCTAGGCACACTTCTAAGGGCTTTACCAATACTAACTCACTCAACCTTTATAACAGCTCTGTGAGGTAGCTGGGATTTTTACCCTCCGAGGCACAGAGAGGTTGAGTGCTGCCCATGGTCATGCAGTCACCTGGGGAGGACAGGAGTCAGATGCAGACATTCTGACGCAGAGTCTTGCTACAGCTCTTTGCTGTGTAGCAGTCATCTCTGAGCCAGAGTGGGGAAGAGTTAGTCCAGCTGCTAGACCAATGAGCTGCAGTCACTAGCCAGGTGGTCACATAGGCTGTGGGGTCATATTTTAATAAGCAGTGATTATACAGGAAAGGTGGGTCTGCAGTGAAGTTTGCTCAGAAAGCTTCAGGTGGGAATCAGAGACTTGCACTGGGCATGGTGGAAGGCCAGGCGCAGGGCCTGCCTGTCTCCCTCACATAATCTCCAGGCTCCTTCTGCCTGGCACCCTTTCTGCTGGACTCTGAGAGTAAAGGAATGAGCAAACCCGCAGGGTCCAGCCCTCGGGAGCTCACAGTTCAGAGGAGAGGAGACAGACTGAACAAAACCATGGGACTACACGACTTTCCTTCTACACGGGACTGCCTCTTCATTCTTCCTTGCTGTAGCCCAGTTTATTCCATAAACTCGGGCCAAGGCTTCTTTTAAATGAGGGCAGAAGGTGTCTCACTTTCCACTTAAGAATGTGCTCTAGCCCTAGCTGGTTTGGCTCAGTGGATAGAGCGTTGGCCTATGGACTGAAAGGTCCCAGGTTCAATTCTGCTCAAGGGCACATGCCCGGGTTAGGTTGCAGGCTTGATCCTCAGTAGGGGGCATACAGGAGGCAGCCAATTAATGATTCTCTCTCATCATTGATGTTTCTATCTCTCTCTCCCTCTCCCTTCCTCCCTGAAATCAGTAAAAAATATATATTAAAAATAAGTAAAGAATGTGCTGTAAGCTTTCCTGCTGCATGAGCTCACGTAAGCGCAGTCAGCACTTTTGCTCATGGGCAAAAAATGGTATGAAAGACCTTTGTTTTTATTATGTTCAATGTAAAGCATGGAGTGTTACCTGTTTGAGCATCAGGTGAATGTTGATAATGACAGGCAGTAGGTAACCACACGAATGAATGTGAACCTGGTAGCAGGTGAGGCATCAGTGGTCATCATTTTTAACTTGTTTGGAAGCCGGACATACGTTAGCAACAATGAGAGTAGCGTGTGTGGTGCAATTGGGAGCTCTTCGGGCATCAGTGGCCACCATCCCTAGGAGCCAGTATCCTTTCATTGGGATAATACTTAAGTAAGTGACACTTGCTTTTCTTCCCTGCTCACCCTGTCTCCCCTAGCTGCTGGAATGTGGTGGAAATTTGTTTGATGCCATCTCCATTGCTGTAAAGGCTGCTCTGTTCAATACAAGGTGAGTCTTCCGAGAAACATCCCCGGGGCCGGTGCAAAACCCAGGCGGACACTGAGGAAATTTCTACTGCAGTTCATAGGTGAAGTTAACGAGGGGTTAGCTGCATTAACAATGATATGTAATGTCAAGCTCCAGAAAACAGAGATTTCATCAATTAAAAGTAAATCTGTGCATCTATTTCTGTATTTATTTTTTGTATTGTTATTTTCATAAGTAAGCATGTACCATGTAGAAAAGTATTAGAAAACTACAGAGAAGCAAAAAGAGTTGAAACCAACTACTGGCCCAGCTGATGTTGCTCAGTGGTTGAACATCGACCCATGAACCAAGAGGATGCTGGTTCGATTCCCAGTCAGGGCACATGCCTGGATTACAGGCTCGATCCCAAATAGGGGGCATACAGGAGGCAGCCGATCATTGATGTTTCTATCTCTCTCCTCTCTTCCTCTCTCAAATCAATAAGAACGTATTTTAAAAAAAGAAAGAAACCAACTCCAGGTCAACTGTCCAAATACTGTTACTGGACAAAGCTCCCTGTGGGCAGTTTGTCCGTCTGGTCTGCTATCCCCCCAGCACCATGAACAGTGCCTGACACAGCAGGTGCTCACGGAGCCCTTCACTGGACTCACGCGTGTTCTAAAAGCAGGGTAGCAACCTGTTCTTTGGTTTTCACTAAAAGCAGGTTCAGCTTCCCCGACAGGCTGCGTGCGTAGCAAGGGACGAGGCACTAAGCTTTTGGAGTTGACATTCCCACAGGCTGTTTGATTATGGAGCATTTCTCCCACTCTGTGCACCAGGTTCTTTGAGGAAAGTTTGCAGCATTTGAAAATAAACATGTGGGTGAGGTGTTCATTCCACGGAGAGCTTACATTATGGTAATGGGATTCTGGGGTATTAGGGAATGAGGATTCGAAGCTTCTAGGGAAAAAGCCTATGGAAGTGATTGGATAAGTGAGCAAAGATATTATCTGAGAAATGTTCATTGCAGCTTTGTAGTGGTGAGAAATTGAAAACAACCTAATGTCTCAACATGGGCATTAAAATCGACACAGAAACCTATGTACACGTTTGTTAATATGGAAAAGCAGCCACTAAACAGTCCTGTCATCCCGTTTTTGCTTTGTCTTGTTTTATTTTACTTTTGCTAATTCTTATGTTTAATATGTCTGGAAATATCTATATGTCCCAAAATGGTCATTGTGACAATTTTCTAGTGCTCATACTATGATTTAACATTTATCTCTGTTCTAGAGTTTTTCTATGATGAATTTAGACTACCTGCATAATTTAAAACAAAACAAAAACAAAGTTAAATAAATTTAGGTCAGAAATTGTGGGGTCCTCATGCAGAGCTGTGCCGCTAACTCTTGGCTGAGACAGTCGAGGGTCTGGCACTGGTGGCCACTGTGGGGCTCGAGTAGCAGCTGCCAGCAGCAGCAGCCTGGCTTGGCTCCATTGGAGAAGAAAGGAAGCTGCCATCTGTTGCACCTCCAGCCTAAAAAATTACCCCCCATCTGCCAGCTGGTTTCCATGGGCACCAGGGCAAAAAGAGAGTAGAACCAGCCAAGGCTGTTGGGCGAGGGGGGAGGTGTCAGGCAGACTGTGAGCAGGATGGTAAGCCCAGCTGCTCAGGTTGGGAGGACACTTGTCGTGTGCATAGCCACAGTCTCATCCTCAGAACAAGAAAGGAATGGGGACCCTACAAACACTGGATCCCTGGCATGTGGAGAGACCTTTTGTACAGTCAGGGCCTTTAGAAGGGGAGAGGCCAGTCCCTCGATGGTATTCTTTAGCCCTTCTACTGAACCATGTGTGCCCACGCACTCACGTTTATTTTTTAAACATAAAACTTCAAACTGGTACCTCTTTTATGAAGTCTCTGATCAAGTATTTTGCCCATTTTTCAATTGGGTTGTCTGTCTCATATTTAGTAGGAATTCTTTATGGAATATGTCAGTTTATACATACACACATGCACATTTGCAGATATTTTTTTCCACTGCATTATCTTTTAATTTCTACTGGTAAATGATGTCTTTTGATGAACAAAGTTCATAATCTTAATATATATTATATGTATGTACTAGTATGTATATGTGTTTTAATTATAACAGTTGAATCTATCATATTTTCCCTTTATGATAGGCACTTTGTGTCCTGTTTATGAAATCTTTGTCCACTCCAGGGTCATTAAAATGTTTGTAGTTTTTCTTCTGAAAGCATTATTGTTTTATCTTTCACCTTTACATCTGCAGTTCCTTTGGTGTGAGGTAGGGATCACAATTCATTCTGGACATGGGATTGGTCAAGCATTATTTTTAAAAAAAACCTCCTTTCTCACCCTAACCGGTTTGGCTCAGTGGATAGAGCGTTGGCCTGCGGACCGAAGGGTCCCAGGTTCGATCCTGGTGAAGGGCATGTACCTTGGTTGCGGGCACATGCCCAGTAGGAGGTGTGCAGGAGGCAGCTGATCGATGTCTCTCTCTCATTGATGTTTCTAACTCCCTATCTCTCTCCCTTCCTCTCTGTAAAAAACCAATAAAATATATTTAAAAAACAAAACAAAAAACCTCCTTTCTCACTGCACTGCAGTGTCGCCTGTGTGTGCTTTTGACAGGAACGATGGGGAGTACAGGCCTAGCATGAGATTCAGGGATTCCAACTCCTGTTCTCAATCTCAAGAAAAAGAAATTATCTTTCAGGAAGTGAGGATTTTAATTGTGCTTCTGCTTCCAGGATACCAAGAGTTCGTGTCCTGGAGGATGAAGAGGGGTCGAAGGACATTGAACTGTCTGATGACCCTTATGACTGCATCCGGCTAAGTGTGGAGAACGTCCCCTGCATCGTCACCCTGTGCAAAGTATGAGCTTCCCTCTGGGTCTTTTTCAACCCCCCACCCGTTAAGGTTACTTAATAAGTTGAAAAGTTATAGTTTCACAAACTGTAGAGGGAGCTTTGCCCCGAATCCAGTAGTTGGTTATAGTAGAGATCACTGCCATGAGCAGTCTTTCTTTTCTTCTTAATGAGAAGAGGTGGCGGAGTGCTGGGAGCACACGAGTGGGTTCAGAGTGAGAGCAGCCAGTTTGTTAAGCTCCTTCTATACCAGGCATTTCACCGAGACACCCTGTAGGCCTGTTTCCTTTCATTTTCTCTGTGGGGTCCAGGCTGGTTGACAGTAATAGGTGGTTGAAAGGCGAGTACTGTCCCCTCTGGGGGCCCCAGTGTCCACATCTGCCAAGTGAGGGGGTTGCAGCAGCTCCTGGTGTGGTTTCTACATGAGCACAGAGGCCTGTGGAGCCAACATCTGGCTGATGCTGATGTGCACAGAGGCCTGTATTGGCTGAGCTGTCCCTGATTCCACCCAGGATTCATTGTTTCAAAATAAGGCCAAATGGGTTGGGTTTCATTCCACGAAAATCACTTCATAAACCTGAGTATGGTAAAGTGTTGGGACTGACTCGAGCCACCTGCACCAGACTCTTTTTTTAAAATATGTTTTTATTGATTTTATTTTTTTAAATATATTTTTATTGATTTCAGAGGAAGGGAGAGAGAGAGAGAGAAACATCAATGATGAGAGAGAACCATTGATCAGCTGCCTCCACAGCCCGGGCATGTACCCTTGACCGGAGTTGAATCTGGGACCCTTCAGTCCGCAGGCTGACCCTCTGTCCACGGAGCCAAACTGGCTAGGGCCTGACTCATTCTTGAGCGTGTCCCTCAGCATGTCCTCTCTTGCTCTCATCTTTGTCACAGGGAAACATCCATGTGGCTGCCCATGTGAATTTCTCCCTGTGCCCCGCTGTCAGAAACACTTGGTGGCCTCTGACTTGGATGGTCACTGAATTCTAGTTCTATCCCCCTCACCCCCATATTTCCATTTCATGCTTCTGCTACACGGCTCACACCACGGCTGGCAAGATGTTGGTTGAACATTACTTCAGATATTTTCCACGTGATCAGAATCTAAAAATCTCGATCCTGAATGGGCAGTGCAGGCTCTTTGCTGGTCTGGGTGTACCTCCGGGAGCAGTTGGGTGGGGATCAGGGCTGTGTCACCCACGTGTGCTCTGCTGCCTGCCTGCAGATTGGCTATCGGCACGTGGTGGACGCGACTCTGCAGGAGGAGGCCTGCTCCTTGGCCAGCGTGCTGGTGTCCGTGACCAGCCAGGGCGTCGTGACGTGTATGAGGAAAGTGGGGAAGGGCAGCCTGGACCCAGAGAGCATCTTCGAGATGATGGAGGTGAGGTTCTGGTTCTGGTTCTGAGGCAGGTGCTGGGCCTGGCTGGGAGTGCCTGCTGCCTCCTGCCACCTCAGCAACACCATCGGATTCTCCTGTTTACACCCCTGACCCAGACTTGGAGCTTGGAGGACAGCTGGTGCGAGCTGGATGTCTGCTGACTTAGCCAAGGGGGGGGGGGGGGGGGGGGGTAAGGAACCCGCTGGTAACAGTTGCTTATCTTCCCCTCCCCGATCCCACGTTCACGGTTCTAAAGTAGAGTGTTGAACTGATAATGTGAACTTATGACTCCAAAATCCCAAGCCTTTGTGATTTGATGAGGGAATTGGAGGCAGCAAAGGTGGAGCCAGGGGCTGAAGGGTGGCCGTCTCCCCTTTCCTCCGGGTTTAGAACTGTTTCAAGGGGAGAGGAATGGGAGTGGGGAAGTCCTCCTGGCAGCCTGAGGGGTGGATTGCTCCCTCGGGTCTCCTCCACCCTCTGCAGCACCATTAGGGCTCTTTCCAGCTGCTCTGTGCTCATTGGGTGACGTGTTTGTCTCCCCACTGGCCCAGAGCCACAGGGCCCTGGTCCTGCTCAGAATAAAGGAAGTTACAGAATAAAGGAAGGAGAGAAATATGGGTGGGGCAAAAGCAGGTTTGCAGTATGAGTATGAGGAACAGTTTATTCTTGTATTATTACTTCCTAATTGTTATTTACTTGCATTACAACGGTAAGCAGTGTACATCACAAATGCAACTCTGTACAAATCTTTGAGGACTTTAACACTGACCAACTGACTGACTGACTGACCTGCCAGGAACGCAGTTGGCCGGAGCAGGTGGTTTTTGTTCAAGCAGCCACTGGATCACATCATAACACGTGCCCATAGGTCATTGCTCAGGCAAGGTTGCCATGTAATGCTTCCTTCATTCCTAGAAACAGTGGCTTTTCACAGGAGACTCTGAGCCCTTGGTGTCTGTTTTCTCCTTTTATTATCTTACTTGAAAGCACAAGTGGGCGGTGTATGTAGTGGCGGAGACACCAAAGACCCTATCCAGGTGTTGACTTTGGTCTCATCTGAGGGGTTCTGCTTAGAGATCTGCTGGCAGGTACATTAGAAACTGCTTGTTAGGACGAGTCCTCAGCACCATCTTCTTCATCAGACACACTGCACGTCCTGGGGTCTCTGTGCCTTCTTACTCCAGGACCGTGGGACTTGGCGGGGACCACGTCCAGACTTGGTTGACAATTTCGCTGCTGTTGTGACGGCAGCAGGAATGCTGAGCGTGAGCTAATGGCCAAGGCAGCCTTTGCTGCTTGGTGCCTGGGGGTTGGTGTCTTTTTTTCTCTTTATTGGGATGGAGGTTTTCTCAGAAGGAGCTATTATTCTGTTGAGGTTTGGAGTTTGTTTTGTATTGATTGAATTATTTAATTGCACAAAGGCCCGGGAGGCAGGTGGAGTGTGTATGGGTCTGGAACCGCAGGCTGGCAGAGGGGGGCTTCCCCGGGTCAGCGTGCCTGCCTCACGCGTGCTCTCTCCCCTCCTCGCCCCGCAGACCAGCAAGCGTGTGGGCAAGGTGCTGCACACCTCGCTGCACAGCATCCTGCACAAGGAGGAGAGCCTGGGGCCCAAGAGACAGAAGGTTGGATTCCTGGGGTGAGCTGCACGTCAGCCCCCCACTCTGGAGCTGGTTTCCACTTTTTTTGTTTAAGCCGAAGTTTGTATATATTTTTCCTAATTATGAATTTAAAGCAACATTTGTACGTGTAAAATTAAAGTCTATTTTCTGGTCTGGTTCGGTATGGCTGGGATTCTTTAGCGCCAAGTCGAACGCCTTTCAGTGACGCCTGCAAGAGTCTGGCCCTCGCCTCCTCAGGTCCCAAGAAGTGCTCCCCGGGAGAGAGAGGGCTCTGGTCATGGCCTCCCCGAGGGGGCTCATTCGTCTCCTGCTGCAGGAGCTCAGAACAACGAACACACTGGAATAAGGGCCCCTGAGAAAAATGGCTTAAAGGAAATGCTTATGATGTGCATTTTGTGAAATTTCCCCCCTCCAGAGCCTTTAGTGTAAGAATCACACAAAAAGGTTCATTTGCTTGTGCATTTGGTGCTCCCCGGGAGGAGAAGAGAGAGGCACTCTGCCCAGGTGTCCACCCAGGGCTTCTGCCTGGCTGGCGAGCCTCTGGAGGCCTGGGGAAGCCCAGTTCTTGCTTCCTGCCTGCCCCCCCGCCCCCCCAGCAGGGTCTTGGTGGCCACTTTGGTCCTTAGCCAACCTTTCTTATCAGCCTCATTGTGAAATTGCTCAGTGTTTTATAGCCACTCCCGGGTGTTTTGTAAGATTTTCTTGTTTTGTCAGCATCAAGAAGGCTGCTTTAGAGATGTTGTCATTTGATTACCCAGCCTGCCTTCATACTCTGGGACGGAAAGGCTGTCCTCCATGGCCCCAGCAGACTCCTGGGGCGCTGCTCGGAGTGCCTGCGTGTGCTGGCATCAAGTCTGTTTGAGGGCTGAGCAGCCTGTTTCTCTCCGGGGGTCGGATCCTCCCAGTCAATCTTAAAGGACCAGGAGAGCAGCCATGACGTTCACTCTGCATTTCAATTAGACAAGTAGGGTAAGGAGCTAGGCGTGGATTGCTCAACGGGAAAAGCATGTGGGAGCCATGCAGGCTGCTCCAGGGGGCCTGGCATGGGCACCTCCTCTGCATGGCCAGGCCCGTCCCTGCAGAGAGAAGCAGCTGCCCACACTTAGACTTGGAGCCGCTGCCCTATTGAGAACACAGCCTGGGTGTAGTTATTTTTTAGCCTTTTTCCAGGGTTTGTCCCTCCTGGTGCCATGACAGTGCTCCCAAAGACACAAGACCAGCCGTGCCTCCTCCCTGCTCCTGGTGGACTGTGTGACAGAACATGGCGGTGGGCAGGGGCAGCTGAATTGAGTCAGGTGTAGAAGCCTTCCGTCTTGATGATCAAAGACAGGCTGATGAGACAGACGGATGAGGCTTTGTCGGGCCACTTCCCACTGCGCTGCGTGGCTAAGCAGAATAAAGGAAGGAGAGAAATACGGGGTGGGGCAAAAGCAGGTTTGCAGTATGAGTATGAGGAACAGTTTATTCTTGTATTATTACTTCCTAATTGTTATTTACTTGCATTACAACGGTAAGCAGTGTACATCACAAATGCAACAAAACAGCGACAGGCAAGGTCTCTCCAGGCGAGGCGTTTATTAGAAATGTTTGGCCCTCGCAGGCCGAAGCCCCACCCCCAGCTAAAGGAGAGCAGCATCTCCTGAAAGAAACTACGCCACTGTCTTTGCAAAGGCCTTACCCGAGTCAGAGGCCTCGCGAGTAGATGCCTCTTAACCTCTGCCCCCTCCCTCCCCTCACTGCCTCCAGGAGATACGGTTCCTGCTGTGGGAAGAACTAGGTTACTCATCAAAATAATGGCAAGACCTGGCTTGGCATGTGCCAGGGGACTGGAGGGGGAGCGGGTCCTGAGGGTGTCGGACCAGCGCCATGGCTGGAAAGGGGGTCAGTGTCCCCACAAAGAGGCCTGAGCTTGTTCCTAATTTGCTGCCGACAGCCCCCTGAAACCTGGACCTGGCAGTCATGTGGAGCCACGGAAAAGGCAACAACTCTTCTTCAACCAGTGAGAGAAGTGAGGTCACAGGGCAAACCTCTGCTCCCCAAATTAGAGAGACCAACAGGCAAATCAGAGACTCACACTTACTGGGACTGAAACCTCTGGGGCCAGAAGCAGGAAGGGAGACCTGAGCCACACCTGCGAGCTGCTGGAGGCTCCGTGCGCAGCTCCGAGAGTTAAAAGCTCCAGGGGAAGGGGAACATGGGCATCAGGGGCCCCACACTTCTGTGTGTTTTATCTCCAGGAACTCGGCCTGGTTCCCACAGTGAATTTTGGAGAAATACTCCCCTGGTGCAGGAGGAGGGACAAAGGGGCCATTTTGAAAATACATCAGAGCACTGTTGTTTTGAACAAGGTCCCTTCAGGAGACACTTTCACCAGAGCCTCGTCAGGGACCTGGCTGCCCTGGAGGAAGGGAAATGCCCTTCTCCAGCCCTCCTGTCCTACCCCAGGGCCGGAGGTGGGCTGGCAGGGCGTTGGACTGAGCTGGCAGGGCGATTGGACTGAGAAGCAGTGACATTCACCGCCAGAGGCACAGCCTCACTGGAAGACCTCATCGCAAGGCCAGGGACAGAGCAGAGGCAACCCTTGTTGAATCAAGGGCTGACCACCAGGCCAGCGAGGCCTGCAACGGAGGACTTCCCTCAGGAGGGTCACGAGGCCAAGGCTGCAGACCCTGTCGGTGGTTTTGACTCGGGCTGAGACCGCCCTTGCAATGCTCTTGGCAATTCGCACCCTGGACACTCTCACCTGTGAGGAGAGCGTGGGAAGTTCTGTGCCTCCCGGGCCGCCGCGCTCTGACTCGGGCCAGCCCAGCGGAGCTGAGAGGAAACA